AGAGAATATAACATGTCACTAAACTTGGAGAGCTGCAATGGAAAATGTATTAGTCTATACAATATATACTAGTAAACCCATTAAACAGGTTATAAAGGGCTCAACTAGCTGACTAAAATTGCTTATCCAGTTTTTACTTAGAACCTTTTCCCTATACATGTTACAGATTCTTTGTTAAAATTTTTTTACTGCTTATATATGAAATCTGGTATAGATTTTTTTCAATTCTATCTCTAAACATGCCATCCCAAGATAAAGCAATAAATAGGTTAATTCTTACCTTCTGAGTATATGTGCCAAATAATAAGAATGCTGTCAGTATCAACAGAGATAACATGATCCCCAAAGGGTTGCAAAAGATGGATTTCTGCCTTATGACCCTTAAAGGTATGTACGACCTACAATGTCAAAGTTCAAAAGAATTTCATATTATTCATTCATCATGCAGTATTATTCATATTAACAAGAAAATACAACATGTTAATCATGTTAAGAAACATGATCTAACTTCAGACTATCCATGCTAGATTAACAAATAGCAAGGAATCAGGTATTTTCAACTGCTCTCCAGCCAGTTCAATAATAAGGAAACATGGATTGGAAACAGAAATGAGATCTGAGAGGCTGAGCCTCTCAAGTGAGCTCAGGAAGGAGGCACACACACAGCTGGGGTCCCTCACTTAATCCAACCAGCACAACTCCATGCATCCTAGAAAAGTGATATATTATAGAAGGCTGACCTCCACAGACTCCATCAAAAGCTGGCTTCCAGATGAGATGAGAAAAGGAGAGAGATATAGGGTACTTTTCCCTATAGCTTTGTTTTAGGGAAGTACTGTGTTCCTCAATAACTATGGTTTCAGTTCTCACCAGGCTCCAGTAACACTATTTCTTCTTACCTCAATGGACCTAGTGGTGGTGACAGTTTTCTACGTAATAGTCTTTGATGCCTTCGCACACCTAATCTATAGTAATAAAAGCTTAATATGCTAATTAGACAGGATGACCTTCCAGATGAAGAGGGGCTGTGAGGGAAGCCCAGGTCCCGGGTGCCTGCCAGCAGCCAGAGGGAAGCCCGGGTCCTTGGTGCCTGCCCAGTGGCCGGAGGGAAGCCCGGGTCCCGGGTGCCAGAGGGAAGCCAGTGCCAGGAGCCAGAGGAAGGAAGGCCTACTATTTTTTTTTTTTAATTTTATTTTATTGCTTAAAGTATTACAAAGAGTATTACATATGTCTCCTTTTTTGTCTTTTCCCCCTTTGACCTTCCCCCAGCCTCCCCTACCCGCCAGTATCTTGTGTCCATTGGTTATGCTTATATGCATGCATACAAGTCCTTCAGTTGATCTCTTACCTCACCCCCGCCCCCTCCCCCGGCCCCAACCCTCCCCGGGAAGGAAAGGCCTGCTCTTGCACAAATTTCGTGCATCGGGCCTCTAGGG